TGTATGAGGCTTTGGGGGGACACCTATACACAAACCATAACAGCCTAGAACATTTAAGCTGCCAATTAGGTACTGAACAGCAAAGCAACATCCCCAGTCTATGCCATGAATTCATAGGGAATAGGTTCCAATAACTCACATTCCTTTCCATTGGTCCTCACAAAGTGTGCTTCTCTGGGAGGGGCAGGCTGGCACTTCAATTGAACCCAGGTACCTTTCTCTTTGGCTTCCTTCTTTTTCTGATCATTTTCCTTGACACATTTCAGGAAGCTATTCATGACTTTTTGAGTGTTTAATATGCTCAATATGCACATTAATCCTCTTGGCAAGTATCTTGCCCTTAACTTGTTTACAACAGTGCCAGGAGCATGCTGGGTAACGTTGTAGACTCATCCCGTTTTGCCATGGTAACATTTGTGAGGCATTCCTTTTTGCATAGTACCCATTCCCTTGATGACTACAATATCATCCTTTTTGTAGATTCGCATGCATGTGGCCAAAGGAACAACCCCACATTTTTTCAAAGGCCTGGAAAACATATACCGGGTTCTCCTCCTATTGCCCTTTGTGTTAGTCATTTTGACAAATTACTGGAAGATGGCAGTTCCGGCTGAAAGGCACAGTTTTTGTTTCTTGAGATAGCATTTTGCTATTTTTCCTAGGCTGGCCTCAAAACTTTAACTCCTCCTGACTCAGTCTCCCAAGAAACTAGGAAGACAGGTGTGCACCACAGTACCCAGCTATTGATGAGAAATTAAGGAACAGAAAAGTACAGAGAGCCAAGAAGCAATGACATTAACAAATAATGAAGCTAAGAAGTAGAAACATTCTGATCTACAGTTTCTGTTCTACAAAAAATTCTTCAGTTGTACAAAAGCAAGAACAAACTGTCTGACTCCAGACTAAGGATGACAATCTTGATCCTTCCCTATACTCTGCCAAGATAATCCTTAAAAGACCATATTCACTCAAGAGTACACTATAACCAGAAATGGGAACACAAAATGTTCAAAAACAACATAGCAATAAAAAACTTCAGTGATAAAACTATGATTAATTTTGAAGATAACATGTTATCTTTTTAGATCTGGAAGAGAAATTTCAAGCTGCTTAGATGCACCTCTATTATGTCCAGAACAATGTAACATACAAAATAGCTGTTTAGCGATGGATTTTCTCCAGCATAAAATGTGTATGCTAAAGATATTACTTCAACATTTTTCACTTCCATGACACTATATATTACTACAGCAAAAAGTAAGGCAGAAAAACGAATTCTTTACTTTAGAACACATGACCAAAAAGTTATGTTCCTCTTTTGTTAAATTCTACATTAAGGAAAAAACAAACAAAAAACTAATGTTTTAGGGCAGTTTATGCAGTATTAATAAACTAAGATACCACAAAAATTTTATCAAGCATATTCCTTTTTTGGGGCCAAATAGCTCAGGAGATTAAAGCGCCTGCTTAGGCAGACGCAGGGGCCAGGGGTTCGATCCCCAGGCCTGCCATGCTGGCCCCGCCTTTGGAGTGCACTGGGACTACGATTGAGACTGGGCATGGTGGCACACTTGTAATCCCAGCTCTTTGGGAGGCTGAACACATGCAGATCACTACTAGTAGACCCTTACTTAAAAAAAAAAA